CATTTTCCCTCCCCAGTGTCATGTGACTTGTTAGTGTTATAAGGTCTCAGGTGTGAATGGGAAGCAGGTGTGTTAAATTTGGTGTTATCGTTCTCACACTCTCTCATACTGGTCACTGGAACATGGCACCTCATGGCAAAGAACTCTGAGATCTGAGGTTCTGAAAAAAAAAGAATTGTTGCTCTACATAAAGATGGCCTAGGCCAGGCATAGGCAACCTTCGGCACTACAGATGTTTTGGACTACACCTCCCATGATGTTTTGCCAGCATTATGGGTATAAGAGCATTATGGAGGATATAGTCCACAACATCTTGAGCGCCGAAGGTTGCCTACCCCTATCCTAGGCAATAAGAAGTTTGACAAGACCCTGAAACTGAGCTGCGGCACGGTGGGTAAGACCATACAACGGTTTCACAGGACAGGTTCAACTCAGAACAGGCCTCACCATGGTCAACCAAAGAAGTTGAGTGTACGTGCTCAGGGTGATATCCAGAGGTTGTCTTTGGGAAATAGACGTATGAGTGCTGCCAGCATTGCTGCAAAGGTTGAAGGGGTGTGGGGTCAACCTGTCAGTGCTCAGACCATACGCCGCACACTGCATCAAATTGGTCTGCATGGCTGTCATCCAAGAAGGAAGCCTCTTCTAAAGATGATGCACAAGAAAGCCCGCAAACAGTTTGCTAAAGACAAGCAGACTAAGGACATGGATGGCTGCTCATTTTCTTAAACTGAACCTGTCTAAATCAGAACTTCTGGTCTTTTATCCCTCAAGTGTTGCTACTCCCTTGTCTGTGTCCCTCCAAGTCAATGGTGCTACCATCCGCGCTACCTCTAAGGATCGCTGCCTAGGTGTTCCCTTTGACTCCGAACTCTCCTTCAACCCTCGTGTCCAATCAATCAGCCAATTCTGCCGCTTCAATCTCTAAAACATTGCCCGCATCCGACCCTATTTAACACCTGATATGGCAAAGGTGCTTATCCATGCTGCTGTCCTCTCTCGCCTAGACTACTGTAATCCACTTCTCAGTGGTCTTACGTGTTCCCAACTTGCCCCGTTACAGTCTATAATGAATGCAGCAGCAAAGCTCATCTTTCTGTCCACATATCCCACACCACTCCCCTTTGTCAGTCTCTCCATTGGCTTCCCGTAAGATATATGGCTCACTTTAAGATCCTGACACTTGCTTACAAATCTCTACACAATGCTGCTCCCACCTACTTATCCTCACTAATACACAAATATGTCGCGTCTAGGTCCCAACGCTCTGCCGGAGACCTATGTCTAACCTCTGTTCGTACTCCTACCTCTGACTTAAAGACTTTTCTAGGGCTGCACCATTCCTATGGAACGCCCTTCCCCTCTCTCTAAGACTCTCACCCGATCTCCACTCCTTCAAGAAATCTTTGAAAACTTACTTCTTTAGGAAAGCATATCAATTAAACTGTGAACAGCTTTCCCTCTCCACACCCTGATTCCTTTCCTGAAACGGTCATCAAAACAAAACACTAAGCCCTCAATGAATACTATCCTAGCAACCTACCTTTCTACTTTTCTTGTGTCACTATACCCCACTCCCTCTAGCATGTTAGCTCATTGAGCAGGGCCCTCAATCCCTCTGTTCCCGTGCGTCAAACTTGTCTGGTTACAAATTCGTTTCTGTTAGTCCACCCATTTTACAGCGCTACAGAACTTGTTGGCGCTTAATAAATAATAATAATAATAGTGGAGGAGTGGAAGAGGACTCCATTTGCAACTTGTGAAGCCCTTGTGATCTCCATGCCCATGAGTGTTAAGACAGTGCTGGAAAATAATGGTGGCCACACAAAATACTGACACTTTAGGCCCAATTTGGACATTTCCACTTAGGGGTGTACTCACTTTTGTTGCCAACGGTTTAGACATTAATGGCTGTGTGTTGAGTTATTTTTAAGGGGACAGCAAATTTACACTGTTATACAGGCTGTACACTTACTACTTTACATTTTAGCAGAGTGTCATTTCTTCAGTGTTGTCAAATGAAAAGATATAATAAAATATTTGCAAAAAGGTGAGGGATGTACTCA